GTGTGTATGTATGTTGACATTGATCAAAGGCAAGGTACATAATGGCAAAAATTTATTGAATACAATGTTTCCGTCTAAACACAAAGTGTTCAAACTTTTATAATCTCACTTAAGGTCATTGTTTGCATAGACTTACTAGGCTGTTGGATCTGAAGAGTAACTCCAGTGTCCTTTACTTAAATACAGAATGTGCGTTCTTAACGGAGGTATATAGACCCTCCCCTTCTAGCCATGAGAAACTTCAGACTCCAATTCTTACTCTTGTAATAGAAGGATGGAGGGGAAAATGCCTAAGCCACGGGCATTTGAAAGAATTGGATTCTGTTTAGCATGGAGCAGCTGCTGAGATATATGGCTGTTTTCTGTGGAACTTTGGAATATTTATGGACCTTTCTCTTTTCCCTTTTCACTGGAAGAATGGCTATATCATTCTTGAGTGAGTTATTTATAATTTCATAAAGCTGTTCTGTGGTAGGACTTATTTTATACTACACTTAATCTCAGTCAGATAATCATGCTTCCAAGGAGTTGGGAGGAGAAAATTGGCTTTCCTCTAAATGATTAGCTTAGAGCTGGTGTAAGATGAAGAGCTAACGGTTAGAATTCCGAGTCACAAGGGACAGTTGGGCAGTCAGGAGAGGGGACATGGTGACACTGACATGAATATCGTGATTATCATGTTAGACACTTGTCCATCTCACAAACAGTGGATGATAAGAGCGAATGGTGTAAATTTGTCCCTATGTTAAGATGGAGTAGAGCCTTGCAGAATAAATAATTAGGCAGGGGTGATTATAGAAACAATAACTCACTGAAGTAAAATGAGAAGTCAGGTTTGTGAAACTGAGGGAACTGGAAGGTAAATACATCTATAAATTTACCTGGCCAGAGTTTTGAGCTTTCTTCAATCCCAATTTTATTCTAGGGTAACTTTAATAATCACCGGATATATATATATATATATATATATATATATGCAATAAAAAAAAACTTTCAGGAAAGGAATAAAGATGTGCTTGCCACAGATATATTTTATTGAAAGTTACTACAATACTTATTTTTAGTTTTATGAAACTTAGTACAGAAGCGAATACTTCCAACATGTGGATCAAACATATGAAATAATATTTTAAAATAGAATAATAGGAATTGCTATTTTTGATATAGAACATAGTGAATATATAAGGGCAAAGGAACATTTTACTCCTTTAGAGAAAGGGAAATAGGGTGTTTAATCTACACCAGCAGAGCTGTGGCTATCATTTTCAGGGACCACGTTGCAAAATCATGGAAGTCGACTCCCAAAAGGATGTCATGAGGGATACTGATGAGGTGTAGGGAGGAGAAAGAAGGAATCTGATGAGGCAGGGTATTCAATCCATGCTTGTTAGATGAGGTTTCCATGCAAAGATGATCATTCAAGTTGCTATTATCTTGTCATTCCGAGCCATCTTTTCTTCCCCTACTACTGGTAGATGTGCAAATAAATGCAGGTATTTCATGCTAGTGACCCTTAGCAAATACTATTTATTTTACATGAAATGCTATTCTCTTTCTCCAGCCTCCAATCCTGGATTTGTACTGTTCCTTTCGTATCTGTCCCTGAGGGCTTGTTTCTCCTTCCTTTCTGTCTGAAAGACACATCTAGTCTCCTGCCACTTGCTCCCTCGCTGACTCCTGCTAACTCTTGTCGTAACATTCAGTTTACCCTGTTGAGTCTGCCTGTGTACTTGACTGACTGTCCCATCAGAGACTGACTTCCCAGAGCGGAAGAGCCACTTCATCTCTCACTTAATCCTTCGTCACTGTCACTGTGCCTCCTTCGTAGATTTGTGACAAATACCGAAAGTAACAAATCAACTCATCACTGAGTGATGCACGAGTAAAGAAATCATCTTACATACTCATATATAAGGGATACAGAAATGAGTAGCCTGCTACTATCAAAACTACTTACATTGTGGAGTTACAACTATTTCATTTTTCTTGGAATATCATAAACAATGGTAGAATTAGCACATGCAGGCAGGTTATGAGTACCTCATGCTTAGCCCTTGGAAAGTACGGTTAAAGAGTCATTGTATTAGTTATTTTTCGGTTACTATGACGAAATACCACAACCTAATGAATTTAGAGAACAGAGAGGTTCTTTTTTGGCTTACAGTTACAGAGGACAAGAGTGCAGAAAAGGCAGAAAACCATGGCAAGGTAGCCGTAGCTTGAAGCTGGGTGACCACATTTTATCTGTGCTCAGGAAGCAAGGAGAAAGCAGGAAGTGAGAAAGGGAAGGTTCTAAAACCTCAAAGCCTACTGCAGCTGCTTTTTCACTAATAAGGTTCTGCCTCTTAAAAGTTCAATACACTCCCCCAAACAGTGTCAGCAGTGGAGGCCAAAACATCAAATATGTGAACCTACAGGGTAACATTTGTCTTTCAAACAACCAGAGTCTCTGTGAAGTCTGTCACATTCCAAAAAACTGAGCAACATGGAAGGAACCTTGGTGGATATTCCCAGATAACTGTGCAAGTAGAAACATCTCCTACCGTAGCATTATTGTCTGAGGGACGTGGACGGTGGGTGGAAACAGCAGATGTCACCACAAATGTCAGTTCCCTTGATTCCTGTGAGTCCTAAAAGAGTTTTGCATGTTAACCACTTAATATGAAGCCTGACTAGAACAGACAGTAAATGCTTAACAGCCAGGTGTCTTGATAGTCCAGGTATCTATTTCTTCATGTGAGTTTTGAGTGTCCTCAGTGTCATAAAGAAGATATTTGTGGAAGATAATTGTAGTTATGAAAACATACACCACACACAGCATGTACTCCAAGGGAGGGCACTGCATTGTTGAGACTGAAGTCCATAGTTGTACTCTCTGCATATCAGTCCCGAGTCTCTATCCAGCTGCATTAGTGAAGCATACCACCCTGGCTTCGGCTAATTGCTTTGTCTGTTTACACATAACCCCTCATCAACCCCCTTCCCTAAGTAGTGGGAAGTGGAATTACATTAGCGCTTCGAGGAACATGTATTAAGGGAGTATAATTTTTCTGGCACAAGGAATAGTTCACCTGGCTACAGCTGCGGGCACAGGCTGGTTTAGTAGCACAGACTTATGGAGGGGCTCTTCTCAAATTGCTCATCTTCTGACTTTCAGACGGAGCACGGATAGAGTCTGCTCCTCTCAGCGCTAGAAGAAGGATCTGTAGTGTTGGAAAGTGAGATGACTTACCCGACGTGTTCTTTCCACCGTTTATTCTATTTCTGATCATTCTTCATTTGATAGGAGTACTTAAAAAGAGGGAACACTTTGGAAATCTGAATTGTCATGTGTGCTTGTCTGCTATGGTAACAAAGTACCATAGACTGGGGGAGGGCTCAAACCATAGAAACATATTCCTGCAGATTTCTGAAGGCTGGCAGTCTGAAGCCACAGTGTCAGCAAAGTAGCTCCCCTTGTGGACTCTCTCCCTGACATGTAGATGCTCAAATCTGTTCTGAATTTCTATGTAGACTCCTCCCTTTCTATGTCTGCCCCAATTTCTTCTTTTCAGAGAGACACTGATCCAACTGTATTGAGGGCCATCCTAATGATTTCATTAAGACTTAATGTTCAAATGAAGTCCAGCCCTAAAGTATGAGGGGATCACAGCTCAACCTATCTTCTCTAGAAGACAGGGCATAGAAAGGCTGTGATATGCCACAAATATAGTGGTAATGTGTCTTAGAAATCATCACTTTGTTTCTGCCAAGATGTGTGTCTCTCAGCAAATGAGCTGAGAAATTACATCTCTTATATGCCTCAGTGGAAGGGTAGGGCAGTTGTGTCTAGCTAGGAATGGATGGTGCACGCCTTTAATCCCAGGGCTCAGGAGGCAGGGGCAGGTGGATCTCTGTGTGTTCAAGGCCAGCCTGGTCTGTAGAGTACGTTCCAGAATAGACTCCAAAGCTACACAGAGAAACCCTGTCTCCAAGGAAAAAGAAAAGAATGCATACACATCAGTCATAACAACTAGCAACTGGCTTATAATACTTGTTCAAAAGGCAAAGAAAACATTTCTTTATGACCTTTTCTTCTTGAATATGGATCCAGACTTCAATGGGTTGGAAGTAATAAAATCAGCAACTCAGTTAATGTTACTGACATTAAGAAAAGAAATGGGCATTTATTAAAAACCTACAATCCACCGGGTATTTCTATATATAATAACCAAAATCTGTTTGGGGTTTAGTGTATAAGTCATTTAATCCTTCATTAGTCTTTCACTAGTATTTGTAACACTTATAATTTGTGTTATGAAAATTACTTATTCTCACCTACTGTGTGCCAAGGGTCCACTTTACTGCCAATGTTCACAGTCCTGTGGTTTTCTTTTAACAATTTCCATAGCACTGGGAAGTTTTTGCATGGTTAAAAAAATAAACGGATTTATGTTGAACTAGTGTTATGGTGGGAATTTGTTCTGCTCTCTTCAGCAAGAGCCTTACCCATGTCCAGGAGCTTGGGCAATATCACTCCGCTGATCCACATTACTAATTCAGCTAATTGCAGCAATTATGAGGAGGAACCGCTGCAAGCCAGAGAAGCTATTATGCTGTACTGAATGAATAGCATCCCATAGTGTTCATTAATTATACTGCCTATAGATCCGCAGCCCCCCAACAGCGCACATGAAACCATGTGCCATATGAACTTAATCCCTCTCAAAGCACAGAGAGTGTACTGTTGGCTGGGCCCTTCCAATGCCATTCTCCGCAATTCCTTTCCTTCTTCCTCCTCATCCAGAAATCAAAGTGGACAGCCTTGGATCTCTGCAGCCTCAAAGTAGCTGCACCTTTGTAGGAGACCCATACAGACAATCCTCACCAGAGAAAAACCGGTAGCGATGGGGGGGGGGGGGAGCAATAGAAAAGATGTAATGTACTTACCTACCAGTTTCCTTACCTGCCTCTGTTTTCTCTCTTCCCTCCATCCCTCCCTGCTCTGGTAACATCAATAGCCAACATCAGATGACCTTGTTTCATCTGCTGAATGTTCAAGTGATGACGAAGACTTTGTCGAGTGTGAACCGAGTACAGGTAGGTCAGGTCAGTCTTGTTATGCTTGCTTCTTTTTTCATTTGCAAAAACCCAATACATACATATATGTGATTATACATGTGCTTTATCTATAGTACTGTGTGTTAACTTATATGTATTTCCTATATCTATATATGTATCTGCATACATATATAAATATTAATTTACCAGCAAAAGCATCAAATCCCATGGAAAGAGCAATTAAGCTTAGGGAAATTTAAGTCTCTGATACTTAGAAAAATATACAATATGTATCCTAACTTCGCACAGCTGCCTGCTCAGGTTATGCACTGAAATCACTACTACAAATATTCAGTTGTCAATGGCAACTATGAGATTGACAGGGGCAAAGAGCATCTAAAGCTTACATTTGAATGAGCATTTTTGGTTTTAAACCATAAACCTAGCATGGAGGCCAAAAGATTGGTGGGTATCATATGAGTCCCAAGACCTGTTTTGATCATGAGTGGCATAAACAAATAAGTAACCCAAATTATTTTCCATGAGATTTTAACAGCAGTTAACATGGTATTACATTTATACTAATTTTGTTCATTAAATGTCTAGAGAACTCGTGAAGTGATAGAGTATAAGAAACACAAAATTAGTACCAAACTATGCCATGTCAACAGCTGGGATGCTTCAAAATGTATCGACTGCTGAAGTTAATCTGACTTTGGCATGGGAGTCTCAGTGTGTTCCCCATTTGGGCGCAGATACATTTTGCTATTTTCTGGTATTCCTGTATAGTGAACTATATATGATAGAGTGTCCAGCAGGTAACTGACATCCCCAATTCTCTCCTCTCAACTTTCCCAAGTTATCTGTTTTTAGATCTACTGTAAGTTAAACATTTATGTGTATATAATAGAGAACAGATATCATCGAATTTCTGTGTATGTTTAATAAAAGGAAAAGCCTCATCTTATTTCTACAGAGGCTAAAAGAAATAGATAAAATTTCCATTTGATCCTTGGGTTGCCTTATTTTTTGACTTTTCTTTAAAAAAAAAAACAAGCCATTATATGTTTTCTCTTTTCAATTGTAGAGAAATTTATAATTACTGAGAAAAGTAATATATCAAAAGATTTAAAACTTCAATTTCTTACCCCAAAATAATTAAGAACAGTTCTGATTTTGGTAAATGCTGACTGCTTGGTTTCTTGCAAGTGGCTCTGGATTCAGGAAGTTCTGTGGCCTTCTGCCCTTAGTATCTTAAAGGTATACAGCCATAATTTGACCTTACCATTCTATAATATGATCTGTTCTTTAGGGACTTTAGCTCTATGGAAGGAACGTTAATGTGATCTTGTTCATCAGATTTTCTTCAAGTGATTTGGAAATAAATTTGGGCACCAAGGTTTTACTTAAAAATGAATCTATTTATTTAATTTGCTCACTCAATAATCCTGACCACTTAGGCACAACATGATGCATCACTATCCTCCAGTCCTTTCTGGTCTAGTTCTGTTCCAAAGTGAGCTGTTGTAAATAGAGCAATAAGCCTTGCTACATACACCAGTTCTCCAGTCTAATGCAGTACCGCATATTTCTTCGAGGGCACCTGTATAGTTCGGTGTCTGTTAGGTGCTAAGAACTTAATATACGTACAGTATATACCCAATTAGAATGTTTTCTGATGATTGGTTTAAGATATCTAGACTTTAATTAGGATCATCCGATTATTCTCTCCCTACTCTTCTTCTCTCTTTCTAAGTAGTGATAACCGCATCCAGTTCAATATTTATCAAATCTCTTCATTTTAACTCATTAAATATAAAAGCATGGCCATTTTGAATTATTTTTCAGTCCCCCCCCCAATTACGCCCTCTCAAAAATCATCTCCATAGCTCCCTTGATCTCCATAGCTCCAAGGTAAAGGACTTTTCCTGTCTCAAAACTATGAGGCCCATTGATCATCAGGCTGATAATAATAGTTACTGTCTTTTGATGTTGAATTTTAACAGCCCAACTTGAATGTCCCCAAACTGAGTTTGCTTGCTTTTTCGTGATCACCTCTATGTTTTGTTTGATTTCAATCCAGAGGAAGGATATTCATTGACAACATATTTTGAATAATATGGATACAGGAGGTTATATGAGATTTTTAAATTATTGTAATCTTCAAGAGAATGTGGCAAAGGTGCACTGATAAAGTAGAGGACAGAGTTCTGCCTCTGTAAGAGCTAAGTGAGCTGCTTAGTGGAAGCTATTGCTGAGCCTCAATAATAATGTGGCTCACCATGTTTGAAGGATAAACATTTCTTCCCTCTAATTTTATTTCTAATTGCTGGCGAGTGACGTGGGTATGCAAAGGAATATGTCAGAGGCATATTTTGTATGCAATAAAAATAGTTGTTTCTACGGACCCAGGGACGGAAGAGGTAATTGAGCTGATGGAGCTACATGCTTTGAGGTCTCAGTCCTTCTTGTGCACTGCCTGAGAATGAGATCCAGAGATTTCTCACTTGCAAAGACAATGGAAATTAAAATCATAAGGACTACCAGTTTCTAGGGCTGGATTTGAAATGGAAAGGAAGAAATTATCCACTACTTGTGCAACAGTTCGTAACGGTGACATTAACATCACATCACCTGCAATTCGACGTGGACACTGAAATAAAAACTCTGAGTGTAGACACACCCATTTACCACCTCCGTTTCTAAAATTTTTCCTTTTCTCAGGCCCAATACTTGATAGAAGTACAACTACCCAGTACTTGCTCTCTCATCCTTAACAAGCCCTTTTCTTCTCATCCTTTATAACAGGGTTATTATTTTCTACCTCCTTTATTTCAAAGATTTGTAAAGATCATTCTCTGGTTTCTTTAGATCTATTCGAGACTCTCACATTTCAAACATTTGTGCAGTTTAAAACATAATTTACCAACTGAATTTCATGAAGGCTTCAAGTTTCAAATACAGTGATTCTTCTAATTTGAAAAGGATTTTTATGCTTGTAGTTTGAAGTGAGATTTACACAATTCTTTTCATACTCTGAACCCACTTTGGCATTTGGCCACTGCAGCTTGGTATAATTTAGTCATAAAATGTTTAAATACAACTTATAAGGTTTTGGAACTAGATTGACAATATTTTAAAATTGCAAATTCAATGGAAATGATTTTTTTTTCAAAAAAAATATGTACAATATATCCTATGCCACGAGAAAAAAATAATATAAATTGAAAAGCCCCATTAAAGGTTTTGAATGAATTAGGTTTACTTTCAATATATGTAATAATCTTAAATTAAAGCTGAAGAATTCTTTCACTAGTTCTAAAACTTTACCTCCACTTAAGTAGTTAAAAGAAAAACTGTGTTGATTTTGTTTTTATTTCATGACTTTGAAAAAATAGTATCAGCATAACAAGTTCTACATTTCAAAAGATTTATTTCTATTTTCCCTGACAGTCTCATCCCTGAACTCCCTGCCTTGAGAATTAAGTCCTTTCTTGAGCCATGTTATGATTGCAGTTTTCAGAATTTCAAATACTCAAAACTGAGCATTTGAAAACTAAAATATTAGAGTGAGGTAAATTCCTTTCATCCCAGCATGCAAGGCAGAGGAAGGCAGATCTCTTTGAATTCAAGGCCAGCCTTGTCTACAGAGCAAGTTCCAGGACACCTAGAACTACACAAAGAAACCCTGTCTTGACCCCCTCCCCCAAAAAATTACAGAAAAAAAGTGTAAATGCTGATATATTGTCTGCAAAGGTCAGTATTTATTTTTTTTTGCCGTTTCTGACTTTGCCCACAAACCCCATTCTCCAGGACTACAGTTGTGTTGAGGCAAGGAGCGCAGGATTCAAATCATTACAAGGAGATGAGAGCCTTCATGGATCATGCGAGTCAAAAAGCAATTAAGACCTTTAATGAATATTTATTTGTAATAAAAATCTGAGCGGGGGTTCTGACACTCAGAATTTCAGGAAATTGGCTTTCCATCTCTTCCCTTTCTTTCTTCACTGTTGCTCCTCAAAATAACAGACACAACATCAGACGAGAGATCTCCTTGGGCTGATCCCTCAGTTGTTATCAAGACGTTTGTTTCTCTCATTATCAATTAACTGATTTCTTCACCTTTGCTTTTGTTAAATGTCACCTGATCAACCCCCATTTGACACTTCCACCAGAGGCCAGGAGGCTGAGAGGAAATATCCAACCATGCATCCATCCATCAGTCTCTCAGAAACTCCTTTCCCAGACTGAGGAGAATATTGAAATGGATGATGGTGCAAAGTGACAGACTTCTGTTCCCAAACTGAATCTCAACTCTGTATCTTTTGCTCCTCCAATCTAACATCTCTGGGTTTGTAGTTCGTGGCCTAGTTTCCTCAACTCTCTTTTTCAGCCCATGTCAAACTCAAACCAGATTAAATGAAGATGAAGCTTAGCATAACACCAATAGCCTACTATAGTTACCCTTTCTGACTGACTTAAGTTAAGGGTCTTCATCTTATATGGTTTGAAATACCTCTGTGAAGTATTTATAATTAGAAAGCCTGATACTCAGTTGTTCCAAACTCTACACATCATTAGAGGTTTTATTTCCTGGAACATAAGAGAAAATATAGCTGAAAGGTTAAGACCATTCCTAACAAAATGTGAAGAACAATAGCGTCCAGTCCCAATGGAGGATAAAAGCATAAATATGTTGGTCATTGAGCTTTAAATGTAATAACTATAATCTTTTTAATAAAAATTAATTTTATAATTTTTGCAAGTTTGAAGAATACAAATTTAAAAAAATAAAGAGATAGGAATTGATTACTGAATTATAAGTAAGCAATAGCTCTTAGATAAAACACATAGTTATCATCTGTGCATTGATTTCTATTATGGATTCCATCCCATAAATATATTTTATAACGCAAACTGCAAATTAAAAATGCATGTGAATTTAACTCCATTACTTAAGAGTTTAGGGAGTGTTGAAGATGTCAATATAAACATAAGATCGGTGAGTGTAATTCTATTTAAAGGTTGACACATCATTT